TGTGTACATATCCCCTGACACCCATAGGCAAATGTTTCTCTAAAGTATTTACCTAGGAGTGGAATTCCTGAGAATAGGTGCATATAGCTTCATGTACTTGGGCAGTTATTGCCAAATTGTTTTCCAGATGGTTTCAAATATTTACTCTCCAACCAGTAGTAATTTATCTTGTTACTCTATGTCCTCTGTGATCTTTGCAATTGTTGGACATCTTTACTTCTGCTACTCTGGTATAAAATATTTCATACTGGTTTTCATTTGCATTTTCTTGGTGACTAACAAAGGTGAGCTTATTTGCCCCTCCTGTTCTGTCTCTTGGAAGTTTCAAGAAGGGGTTCTTGTTGTCTTTGGAATGTTTTTAATCATGTTGTTTTTTATTGTTTGTAGGAGTTCTTTGGAAAGCAATTCTTTGTTAGTAGCATATGTCAGTAGCTCCTCCCAGTTTGTGACTTGGTCTTTCATTTTCTTTAAGGTGATGAATAGAAGTGCTTACTTCTGGTGCTTCTAATGTAATTGAATGTATCAATCTTTATCTTTATGGTTTCATTTCCTCCTTAAAAACAAAAAACAAAAACTTCTCTACTCTAAGATCCTAAAGACATTCTCTTTTACTTTCTTCTAAATGCTTTCAAGTTTTGCCATTCTCATTTAAATGTTTCATTTACTTGGAATTGAATTTTATGTGTATTGTGCAAGTAAAGATGCAGTTAGGTCACATATAAATTGATTTGATTTTTTTTTTCAGAACCATTGTTTGTGTCATAGTCAAATGAGCATGCTCTTTCAAGTGTCACAGTGCAATCAATCATTACACATTTTCTCAGACCTCTCAATTTGTCCAGATAGGCATCTTGACATGTTTCAGAAATATTATTCTCAGAACATGTTGCAAAATGCAAGTAATTCACTCCAAACAATACTAATGTGTCTCATTTGAATAAGAAAAGATTGATATCCCAACCATGGTGATACCAGTGGGTATTAAACTTGGCTGAGAAAATGTCTTTACAAAATGAGCCAATAACTGGAAATATAATTTTAAAAGGTGTTGGTAATTCAACTCCCAGAAAATTGAAAGAGAAATCATACATTCTAACATTCTAGTAAAACAAGAAGAGATAATTCTGTGGATGAATGTAACTTTTGATCTACACTATTGTTAATTGGATGGTGGTAGAATAATTTTGATTTGAGTTGGGGTGAGTGTGTGTGTGTGTGTGTGTTTGTGTGTATGTGTGATGCAATGAAATAAAGCATAGAACTCTGTACAATTATATTATTGAGAATATATGCCATTTTTAGAGAAGTTTTACTTATTCCCTTTATTTGAAATAGTCCTTATACTTTTAGCCTTTAACTCTACAGAGACAGTGTATTATTGTCATTAACCTTTCATCTTTAATTCACATTATTCATTTATTCTACAGATATTTATTGAGAACCTATATTTTGAAAAGTAGTCTATGCTCAACTATTTGAGCATAACTGTCTCAGAATTCAGGAACTGAAAGAACTCCAACATCATTTATAGTAACCCTAACTTTTCACAAAGAAGTTAGGGATTACATAGTCCTTGCTTTCAAGCTACTTATGAAATTTCTAGGATGAAAAGACACATTCGAAAAAAAATTAGACAAAGTAAAAAGTTTAACTGAAAGCTTCCTATGGGTAGGAATCGTGTATTGCCTTTATCAGATTTGTTATATTTCCCTAACACAGTGACCTGTTTGTAGGATGTACTCAACAAATATGGATTGAATGACTAACACTATGTATTGATATATAGGGTACAGACAGTAGGTACTTTAAATGATAAGAGAAAAGAAAAATCCACCTGCATGTGGGGATGGGGGGAAGATGTCTTCGTGACATATTTAGAATTTAAAATGGGTGATAACTAATGGTTGTAATTAGATGGAAATGAACTTCCAAGTTTCAAATAACTTGTTTAGCTCACTTGCTGTTAAGACTATAGATAGCTTCTCTGAGTTATTTTCTTTCAAATTTTACCTTTAAGTATGAAGTCTTAGAATAAGTATGTTTATGAAAAGGTAATATGATAAATATGCTAAGATATCTGTATAAGAATATTAATTGCTGTGTTGTTTATTAGAGCATTAAAAAGTGGAACCAAATAAAATAATCTCTTGGTGCATTAATGGTTAATACAACCAAATTAAAATTAGTAATGAATGTAGATATTTTTTAATGTAGAATATTTTTCAACATGCAAAGATATTGCTAATATTTTGTAGAGTAGAAACATCAAGCTGAAAAATTATATAATGATCCCATTTTTTGTGAAAATACAAATAATGTAAAATAGGATGTTGGACATTTTTATTTCCTTCTTTATGCTTTTCAGAATTTATAAAAAGTCTTAAATATTTACTACTTATAAAAATTATTAAACATTTTTTTGGTTGTGAGGAGAATTTGAAATTTACTCTGTTGACTTACCATGGATATGAAAGCTGTAGAACAATGATCTCCATTCATTGAACATCTGTTATTGAGCACCTATTATATACTAGACACTAAGAACAAGAGTCTAAATCCATTTGTTAAGCTCCTGGTAACTTCAGAAGGAGATGGGAATCATAAATAAGATACCAGGAATCTATTTCCTTCAGACTTGTTGCTTCAGAGTGGTCCCTTTGTCTTATACTGATTTTTAAAAATTAAATTGATCTCTGCGTTCCGGTTGTATAGTGTCCAGACTATGAACAAAGTTGTAGAGGTTTTTCCATGCCTGATTTTTTAATTGAAATCAATCAATTCTTCGCTTTGCTAGGAGAAAAAGCAACTCTTAAGACATTTAGGGCCAGAGAAAAATGTTTAAGTTGATGTTGAAAACTTATACATGTGATTATTATATTTTTATTATGTACTGTGTCATTTTCTCCTGTGGAATCAATTTTTAGATATTTAATTAAATGTTATAGTAATTATGTCCATCTTTATTGTTAATTTTAACACTAAATCTCTCAGAGGTCATACGTGTCACCTTGACAATGCATTAATGCCGAGCACCTTGGCATTCTTGTGAGGGTAATGTTGCCTGAACTTGACTTGCCTAGGATAGGACAGAACATGTCCCAGGTCCAGTGGCACCCAACCAAGGTTAATCGTATGCAGTCACAAGGCCAAGGAAGATAACTGTGTGGGTTCATTTTTTTTGTTGTTTTTTGTTTTTTAAAGATTTTATTGGGGAATTGGGGGAGGGAACAGCGTTGGGGATTCAGGGAAGGGGAACAGACAAGTTGCTGTCCTTTAGTTCTTCAGTCTAGTTGTGGAGGACGTCGCTTCACTGGCCCAAGTTGGTATTATCATTGCATTCTTCCCGGGTGATGCAGATCGGTCGCCGGCCATTGGATGGCCACTCACGGCGGCTCACAGCAGCTCTCGCTGGCTACCAGCCACTCATGGTAGCTCATGGCAGTCTGTTGCAGCCCCACTGCAGCCTAGGCCCTTACCTGGGACTCTTGGCAGCCCAGCTCCAGGTCGAGCTGTTGTTCTCCATCTTAGCTGTAGAGGGTGCAGCATCACTGGCCCTCATGCGGGATCCCAATGGCGGCCCTGCTGCTCAGAGCCTGCACTCCCAAGCCAACTCGTAACCAGTGCGCCACTCAGCCGGCCCCTTTGTGGGTTCATTTTTAATAATCTGTGCAACTAAGTGTGGGTGCAGGCTTTTTGAAATACTTAAAACCTAAACATACTCAATGTTTGGGGATTTTTAATTGATTATTCTTTTAAATTAAAACAGCTGTTAGCAGGAGATCTTTTGTAGTTTATGTAATATTAGCAGCTCATAATAATAGTTTCCAAATGTTTTGTGGGAATTTACAATAATTTTCATTTACAATACCTCATTTAATTTTTAGGCCACCTCTAAAGCAGATATTATTATATCAGTTTTCCAGGTGAGAGCCCAGCAGTCCAGTTAGGTTAAATACCCTCCCTAAAGTCACAGAGAGGAGAAGAAATAGACCTGGATTCAAATCTGTGTGTCCTAATCTCAAGTCCTGCTCTCTTTCAGCTGTACCAAGCTGCTATGACGCCTCCTCTGCTTTTGAAGTTAGAAATATTACTGAGTATTACTGGGTGGACTCTACCTAGTCATATTTGCCCCTAAAGCCACCTCTAATTGTTAATATTAAGCATCTTTTATTTAGGTTCCATAGAGAACCACTGACAAGGTTTACATGAGGGTATAAACATGTGTTCCTAAGCTGTCCTTTTGATTGAGCTCTGTTACCCTCCAGCTTTTGAAGTTTTTTTAAACTGGTTTTTAAGACCAGTTAACAGTCAGTGACCATGCCTTTTATCCCAGGACTCAAAAAGAACATTTACATAAGTATAGAGGTCTGTCCATTGATGTAGTAACTGCAGCTCTAAAATGGAATAAAATTGAGTTACTAAGTGAAGATATGTAGATTCAGTAAATGAATGTGGACCAACAACATTTCATCAAGAATTGCTAAAATGTGAAGTCATTATTAGTTATATGCACACTTATAATCAAATAGACCACGAAAGGAAATGCATGTGATCAGAACTTTTCTGCTGTTCAGAGATTAAAATGCATGTTAATAGGCAGAATTTAAGGGAACTGAAGGAAAATGTAAATTGGGATAGAATTATTAAAGAAATGGCTTGAAAACCCATCTATATCTTGGCATAAAATTAGTTACAGAAAATAGGATATTTTATATTATTTTTGTACCTTACTCATGAGTATTGTTGTAGGCCCTTGAATTTCCATTAGCTCAGAATAGAGACAGATTAATTATAAAGCAGTTAATGAAATTAAATTCCCTTCATCTCTTTGTTTATGTCAACGTGGCATAGGGAAATAAATCTCTAAAACCAATTCTGAAACGGATGTAACTTTTATTCATGTATGTATCTCTTAATTTTCTTTTACTCTATATGGAATTTTTTAAAAACAAAGTTATCTTGATTTTCTTTTCTCTTTGTTTTTCTTTTTTTCACTCTAGGCTTGATCCTCCAGTACCTGAGATGTTGAAAAAGGAGCACAGCTCAACTGAAAACATGTCTTTAGAAACTCTAAGAAACACTAGTTCAGAAGACCTCTTTGATGAGATTTAACTGTCTCAAAAAAGTACTTTGATGTTCACTAGACTATGTTTTCTATTCATTTCTTTAAACTGGAAAAAGCAAAATTTCAGTTCAGCAGCGGCTATTACTACATCTTACAATTTAATTACATACACACTGAGTTGAAACTATTGTGCAAAATGGATTACACGTGTATATGATGATATGATTTGATGACAGTGGTACATTATTCTAAACTATTCATTCAGCATGTCTATAATTACATAAAATCTCACTTTTTGTTGCAAAGGACACATTTATCTTATTCAATTCACACATATTATGTGTGGTAGCTGTCTAACATCCTGTCTGGGAAGATTTTGGAAATATGACAAAGAAAATGTCTACAGTTCTTTTTTGAATAGTCATATTCAGAACAATTATGCCTAAGCATTTTAACTTGTGGGATGATGTTTAAAATCTATTTTTAGTTTGTACACAAACAACCTGAAAATCTGAGGATACAATTTCTAATGTATTGAAGCTTTTGTATTCTTAATAAAATATGTTACTTAACTTAATTCTTTCCTTTACTATCATAACAGGTCTTCATAGAGTGCTTACGCATGTAAATGTAACCCCTTTTGTATTTTTTTGTAAAAGGCATGCTTTTCAGAGATTACTTTTAAAATATTTGTTTTACATGCCCAAGGACAGACCCTCTTTGAAGACAAGGACCTTGTCATACTCACTTATGTCATATTCACTTCAATGATGTCTGGCCCTTTTTTTTTTTTAATATTCACTGGTTCTACTTCCCAACCTCTCATTTCATCTTCCTTCTCTCCAGATGGACACCCAATCCCACCATGCTACTCAAATTTAAGAATGACCACCATGTTGCTAAATTCAAAAATTGGTCCATTCTCAACCTTCATCTCTCTAAGCCTCTCAGCAACATTTGATAGCCAATCACTTCTTCTCAGTAAACATTTTCTTCACTTGACTTTTGCAATAATATATGCTGTTTGTATTCCTCTTTCTTTCCGGCCACTTGTTTTTTAGACTTTTTAGCTGAGTTCTCCTTCTTGCTCAACAGTTAAATGTTTGAGTACCGTAGGCTTAATCTTCAGCCTTCTTTTCATTACCTACATTATCCCCCTAGGTCATCTGTGGTTTTAAGTACCATCTATATGGTAATACATATCTCCAGAATTAGAATATTATAATAGTTCTCCTTCTATAGTCGTGTATGTGTGTGTATGTATGTATAATTTATCATTAATTTGTAACAAAAGGAGGTTCCTAAAAATCCATCTGAGTACATCTATCAGCATGTACCTTTATTTGGATGTTTCAGCACATCTAAAGCAGAGATTTGATTCTATCCCAACCATCATTTCTTCCCCAGTCTTCCCCATCCCACACATCGCACTACCACTTACCTAGTTGCTTCGAGCTAAAAAAAATCAGGAATCTTCCTTGGCGCTTCTGTCTTTCTCCTCCCACATCCTGTTATTTTTACCTCCAAAATACAACTTGACTCTATTTACTTCTCTCTTCCTGTCTACTACATCTGCTTCCTTACTGGTCCCCCTGCACAATCTCCTGCCTACTCCTCTACAATCCAGACAAACTGAATTTTAAAATCTTAGATAAGATCTTTTCACTGCATGGATTAAAACTCTTCAATAGTGATCCATGGCCTTTTGAATAAAGCCCACACCCCTTACCACAGTCTATAAGGTCTGATCTGATCTGGCTCTTGCCTATCTTTCCCCTGATTTTCTGTTCCTTTTCTTCACTTTCCTTGTCCCTTACTGTCCCTCAAGTAGGCCAGATCTCAGAACCATTGTACTGTTGGTCCCTCTCCCTACAATGCTCATCTTCATACAGTTGGTTTCTTTTCATCTTTCAGATCTAGAATCAAATGTCACCTCTTCAGCAGTGTTTTCCCTGAAATATCTTTTCAGATATTTCACATCCCCCCCCAAAAAAGATGTGCACATCCCCAGTCACTCTGTCTCATTGGAATTTTTTTTGGTTTTCATTGTGCATGTCACTGTCTGGAATTAATTTTTTCATATCTCTCTCACTCTCCCTCCTCCCCTCCCATCTGAGAAAGTAAGCCCCATCATAGCAAAGGCATGGCCTGCTGCTTTATCTTTCTATCTCCCGTTACCTAGAACAGGGCTAGATTCATAGAGGCTTAGTGTTTGTTGAATGAATAAATGCGTGTTATTGCATAGTAGGCACTCTAACATTTCTTCAAGTTACTAAAACATTTTGAAAAGAAACTCATTAAAAGACTGAAATTTAGTCAGATATTTTGATACAAAGAAATAATTGTTCTGAAAGCTCATGTACCTTCTGTGATTAATTATAAATAATATATACAGTTGACTCCTGAACCACAGGAGTTTGAACTCAGCAGGTCCACTTACATGCAAGTTGTTTTCAATAAATACCTGTACTGTTTTCAGTTCATCATTGGGGGTTCACAGATGTGGAGGGCCAACATTGTTCTACGCCATTTTATTTAAGTATTGAAACATCCTCAGATTTTGGTATCTGCAAGGGTCCTAGAGCCAGTTCCCTGCAGATTTCAAGGGACAGCTTAAGTTTTTGGACAGTTAAAAGTTATACACAGATTTTTGACTACCTGGGCGTCCATACTTCTAACCCTCACATTTTTCAAGGGTCAACTGTACATTTATAAGCATGCACATAGGCTTGACTACAGAAAGAGAGCAGAAAGAAATTACACACTATTGTCACTATCAGAAATAGGATTTTACTAACTCAATGGAAAAAGAACATATTTTAAATAGAAATTTTGCTGCATTTTTACTTCCATCGTGACTTCCATTTAAGAGGAAAAAATTTTAATTAAATATAATATAAATATATGAATTATAAAAATATAATTATAAAACATAAAATTCTATTCAGCCACCTGGAAACTTTACTATAATAATGAACCTCATATAATCCAAGATTTATCTTTGATATTTCTAAGAGGATTTTGTACATAAAGTGCCAGAATCTCAAGATAATGTTATTGCATCTTATTGACCAAAAAATGTCTAGCCAAAATCAGTATGCAACTCTGTGTGTGTGTGTGTGTGTGTCTGTGTGTGTGTGTGTGTGTGTGTGTTTGTGTGAAATGGAAGAGAAGAAGAAAACAGAATTTTGGCTACTAACCCACTAGTGTTGAGAGAGGGACATACGGAAAGTGTTTCATAAATAATTTTAACAATAGAATCTAGAACATTCATAATATTTACAAAAAATTTGTTGTATTTTTCCAGGGCAGTGGATCTTTTCAACCATTGCTGTGTGTCAGATTGATTCAGCTGGTTAGAACAGAGCATATTTAGCCTGTGATCATCGTTTCGTCCTCTACATCTACTGTGGAAAAATCGAAGGGATGGTTTTGTATTTCTTGCCCTGTGTAGAGAGATATCTGTAGATTTGGTGTTGAGATGTTCAGATACTGTCATTGCATGCTGTGATTTCCCCCCCCCTATTTTCCTGTTGTCTATATTCTAAAACAGATGGTTGCAGAAGGACACTGAAATGGAAGGTACCGAAATTGAGTTATAGTGCAGTGCAGCTCTTTTGACCTTGGTCCTCGCACTTCTAAAATAAGGTGATTGCATTTCTGAAGGATTTTTCAGCTGAAAATTTATAATTCTTGGCCCTGGCATGAGATGGTATGGCTCAGGCCTCCTTAGGGCAGTTCATGAAAGAAAGGTCTCCACTCAGGAAGAGGTATCTTTATTATGTAGTTTGAAAGAGTCAGGAAACTACTTCAGAAAAGTGTCTCTTAGTGGCCTATCTCTCAAATTAATAAAATACTAGAACCTGCGTTTTAGAGCCAAGCTGCTCTTCGTTGACTAAATTTGAGTCAACAAATGTTTATAAAGGATCAGCTATGCACAAAACACAGAATTAGGCCATGTAGAGAATGTAAGGATAAATCCATCTATCCACCAAATATGTATTAAGCATTTGTACCGGTCTCTGTTCTGGGCACTAGATGTGGCTGTGCATAATACAAGTGCTCTGATGCTGTGGAGCTTACATTCTAGTAAGTGAAATGTGGGGTGTGCTTTTAAAGAGTAGAGTATTGGGGGGTAAGATTGGAGCCCAGAATCACTATATGATGAACTGTAATATCAAGGAGTAGTAGGATAAGTGGCATAAAGAGAACAATAAAGAATTTAAAGTTATGGGTGAGGATCCTTAGAAGATGAAAGATCCAGTAGAAAAGTTAAGAGAAATTGGTGGGGGTTAGGGAGAGGCAGCTGAGGACGAAGCTGTCAGAGGAGGGTGCAGAACGTCCCGGAGGATGGGAGTGTGATGTTCATGCCCAAGTGTGCGGCTGTGAGTCATTGGAATGCAGAAGACAGGTGAGAAGGTATCCCAGACGCAGTGTTGGCCAGGGCTGGTTAGGAATGTGGAGCTAAGTTATATAATAAAGACGACAATAATTGGGCTCCACAGTTCTGTCAGTCACTTCCTTGGGATGGTCAAAGGGACATCTGGAAATGGGATCGGAAGGCCAGTCAAGGATCCCCTTGATAGATATTGCCCAGAAGAGCAGCCAGCCCTCATCCTCTTATTCACTCAGTATTATTTATAGAATTCACCTTTAATAAAATAAAATTAAATAGCCGACATCCATATTTATGAATCTACTTATAAATCAAGAAATCCAAAAAATAGGTAGTTACATTTTGTAAGAGAGAATGGTATAATCACAAAAGAACTATTCATGCATCCATTTATAAGCTGTTGTCTGAATTAAAATTTTTTGCTGACAATCTGACAGCTTCTAGCAAATGCTTTTCAGGGGGGCTGATTTCATTTGCAAGTGTTCTAGAGATAGCCTGAAATGTTTCTCTCTGTATTTTAATAACTGGGAAAGGATACCTTGGAAAAAAACATAACACCGCATTTTGTGGTTACTTTATGACTGACCATCCACCACCTCCTGTCCCGACTCCCAACTCTTTCTTAGCCAGTTAGGCCAAAACGTTCTCCACTCTATCTTCTACTCATTTTCTTCCTTTCAAATAGCCACATAGCCTTTCATTTACCAACTGTCGTCCTCACTTTCTGATTTTCCTGTCCTCTATTTGAATAAAATTTAACATGTATTTATTCATATGTTGATTTTCCTTCCCGCTTTTGGGGGCTTTTCATCCTAAGCTCTTATCTTACAATGTCACAGAGACTTATACTTTCTGAGTGAGGGTCTCTTTGTCCCCAAAGGCTCTCGGTAATATAGGTAGGTGAGCGAGCTCAGAGCCCTGCGTCTTGATAGTAGATGTTCCTATTATGGGCTGGAGCAGGTGGCCACCGTTCAGGAAATAAAATGTAGGCTAGTCCTAACCACTTACTTTTGATTTAGAGACAGTCTCCACCTTAATTACTATCTAAGAAACAACACAGCCAGTCAAATAAATGTGGGTAGATTAGAAACCGTTTATGGAACCTGCTTATACAAGACCCTTCTAGGCATCTGTCTTACTCTGCATTCCTCCAAAAGCTGAGGCTGAGCCAAGGGCTTGCACACAGGCAATTTGTTTGGGAATGTGATCCCAGGCAGAGGCCTGCAGGACAGGGAGCATAAAAAAAGGAAAGGAGGAAAACCCGGTATAAAGAAGCCTTATCAATGCAGCCAGCCCCATGGATGGCGTGTACCCCCACCCCACCAGGATCTCCTGAGGCTCATTCTGAAAGGCTCTCACAGGTACATCCAGGAGCGAAAGGGGAACATTTATCCCTTCTGTCAGCAGGACTAATGGGTGACTGAGTGGGGACACTGGCACCTGTCAGGGCTTTGGCATCCCCATTTCTCACAGAATGCTGCTCATATATACCTTTGGAGGAACTGCTGTCACTGGCCTCATTCATTCACTTCTCCTTTCACCTCTTTCTGGAAGCTGTAGGTGTGAGTGTTGTGTTGGAAGCAATATTTACATGTCTTTCCTAAGGCTTCAGCACTTTGTGCAGAGGCACCAGCTCTGGATCCAAGCTTGGTGAGGACAGGGAGGGAGTGGAGTTCAAGACACTGGGGACATTCAATAGACATTAAGTAACATCAAGCATTGTGAAAGAGTGGCTTGAGTCCTGAAAGGACACGTTGTGAACCAACCTTTCATTTCTTGGGATTTTGATAAAGAGCTATAGGGCATCCTTCCCCCCAAAAAATATAAAGTGGCAGAAATAATACTTTT